CATCATATCCACAGTTCATAAATCAACACCAAATCTCAAATTTAATCATCATTGCCAGCCAGACTACCTAACACACACAAGCACAAAAACCAAAACAAAAANAAGAAAATATTTTTTTATTGAAAATTTTCAATTTTTTTTTTTATATATACTAAAGCAAAAGCAAACACAAAACATTAAAAAAACACACGAAAAGTAAAAACTCAAAAATTTTCCCACCCCCAAATTTAAAATCGATGCTGTCCTCAATTTCATAAAGCATAAATAAGAATATGAGGGGACGGGGAAGAAAATGAAGAAAGTACTCTCCAAATTTTTCTGTTGAAGGTGCGAGACATTATGTGTGACGGTTACACAATCTTCATCATCATGCTTTCCCCTTGGTCTATTTTGATTTGAGTATTCCACGATATCATGTTCTTGCACATAGCGTCAAATCAAAAAATAAAGATCAAATAACCCAGAACGTATGTTACTTAGTCCAAACAATTTACAATATATTAAATGGCATAAGGGAAAACATGATAGGATGGTGACACCCTATAAATTGAAACATGCCTAAGTATAATGTAAACTAATTATCAAAATAAATCTACATACAATGCGATACAGAAAGCAGAATAACTAAAACGGTTAGGAAATTGGATTGCCTCACAATAAGAGCTTAATTTATAGTCTTTAGCAAGACTATATGGATAAATTAGTCGTGGTAGCTCATGCTGGAATCTTGCAACCTTACACTCCTTGCAATTCCTAGCCTTGCATCCTCTTTTTGTCATCCAAACTTTGAACTCTCCATTCTTATCTCATCCAAGGCTCCCTAGACGTTTATGTTTTATCACCATTGTTTAACTTTTTCAGCAATAGATTTAGCTTCCTCCAAGATTAATGGTTACTTTGATGGATTATGTAATTTAAAGATCTCGCGTGCGTTATCCACCTCATAGTTAGCTTATTCTTCTCCATGTCAATCAAAGTTCGACTTGTTGCTAAAAAAGGGTCGACCTAAGATGATTGACATATCGTGGTCATCTTCGAGGTCCATAACAGGGAAGTTTGCGGGGAATATCAGCTTCCTAACCTTGATGAGCACATCATCTACCTTACCACATGGATATCTGATGCTCCTATCTGCCAGCTACAACGTCACATTCGATCCCTTGACTTCTCCAACTCCTAGTTTTCTAAAAGTAGACAAAGACATTAAAACAAAGACATTAAATTTACGCTGCACGTGTATCACATAAAGTATTAAAATGAAATTCTTTGCCTAGTGAAATAGGTAAAGTGAAATTGAATTGTTTATGATTGGTCTTTTATATGCAATAATCTTTTATCATATTGTTAACGCTTGAACATTTTTGTCTTGCGTTGTAAAGCTTCTCCTACGTCCATAAATGTCATGCTATCTTGTTCGAATTTTTCTATCAAAACATATTGAAATTTGCTTGCGTGGACGCGAGTGAGTCTGACATCTGTTGTCCACGTAATCATTACAAAAAAGGGGGGTTGACAAATTTTATAATATTATTATTAATATTTAAAATTTTAATTATATATGATTTTGGAAAAAAAAAAAAACTTGTAATTCTTAATTATAAATTGAGATCTTGAAAACACTTCGTCCATGTAATTTTTACTTAAAAAATTGTTCATTCGACATGACTTTTGAAAAGTCAAAAAGAGTTTTTAATATTCAAAAGTTGATTTTTGATCTCTTTGACTAACTTTATGAAAAAACTTCTTTTAGCCCATGTTTGATCTCTATTATTTTCAAAATATATTTTTCTCTTTTCTTTTTAACCATATATTTGTTCAATAATCAAATTTTTTTCCTTATTTTTTAATCATACATTCTTAATCAATCTACTATTCAACAATGCATTATTTGCCAAATAATAGAGTTCAAACAAAGGCTTAGTTAGATAGAACTTTTAGAGAATACTAATCCAGTGTGATTTTCTCTAAAAATACATGGAAAACTGTTAGTTTCCAAATAAAAATCAAAATAACTTCTTCAGGAAGCTTTCCTACTGGAAGTAAAAATAAAAACAAATATCACACAAAGAGCAGTCTATCTTTAAAATAATTTGCGAATAGAGCTGACTTCGCCATGGTGAAAGCCGATTTTTCAAAATCTCAATTTTTTTTCTCAAATTCACTTTTTTTCCACAGTTTTAAACACGAATTAAAAAAAAAAAAAATTTCTTTTTAACAATACATTATTTAAAGTATTACTATTTCAAAATCTATTAACTAAAAAATGAGACTCAAACAGTAACTTAAGGTATTAGGCTTGTCTAAGTCCACCAATTCAAAGAAGGAAAAATGTTTGTTGTATATCATCATTTACATAATCTTTACAGATTGATAAGGTATCAACAAGAATATGAGAATTTTTTATTTTATTTTGGTTGGTAAGATTTTAATCCAATCAAATATTGCAATATTATCTGTTAGTAAACAAACTTGTAAGTTATGATGCACATATAACACAACCGTTTAAAGGAACACTTTTAGGGTGCGTTTGATTGCAAGGGTGGAAAATGGGTGGAAAGAAAATATTTTATAGGGAAAAGATCTGCCTAAAAAATGTTTTGTAGGGAAAATGATTTCAAGTGTATTTGATTAGTATAATTTTCCACCTAGAAAATAAAAATCAAAATAACTTCTTCAGGAAGCTTTCCTACTGGAAGTAAAAATAAAAACAAATATCACACAAAGAGCAGTCTATCTTTAAAATAATTTGCGAATAGAGCTGACTTCGCCATGGTGAAAGCCGATTTTTCAAAATCTCAATTTTTTTTCTCAAATTCACTTTTTTTCCACAGTTTTAAACACGAATTAAAAAAAAAAAAAATTTCTTTTTAACAATACATTATTTAAAGTATTACTATTTCAAAATCTATTAACTAAAAAATGAGACTCAAACAGTAACTTAAGGTATTAGGCTTGTCTAAGTCCACCAATTCAAAGAAGGAAAAATGTTTGTTGTATATCATCATTTACATAATCTTTTACAGATTGATAAGGTATCAACAAGAATATGAGAATTTTTTATTTTATTTTGGTTGGTAAGATTTTGATCCAATCAAATATTGCAATATTATCTGTTAGCCAACAAACTTGTAAGTTATGATGCACATATAACACAACCGTTTAAATGAACACTTTTATATCTCTAATAGGTGTCAATTGGTACATTGGACTAAGCATAATAACGAGTAATTAGATTTCATTATGAATATTCCAATAGAGCTTGAACTAGATTAATGCTAGAAGAATCGAAATGAAAATTTTCTTCTCAAGTAACCAAATTGAATTGAAACGAATTAGCCAATTCCTATTCAGTGCTATCGATTTCAAGTATTTTTTCCCCTCCCTCGATAGAATCATACCATGTTATAGAAAATAGAATTCGCTCTTATTTTAGTGTTGGTGATTAATCATTATAAACAATACTTCCATTTAAAAATTTAATTAAAAAATTGACATTTCTATAAAAGTCAAAAATACTCAAATTCGAAGATTCCAAGTGACGGAGATGCTGAGAGAGCATAGACTATATATGAAAAAATTGTCAATGTGTAAACGATTACACAAACAGGTTAACAACTATAAAATTTAAATTTTCTTCTAGTTAATGATTTTTTATTGAGATTTTCTCCTTCTCATCGTCATCATCAACCCCATTTCCTTGTGAATTCAAAATAGAGCAACAAAAGATAGGATTATTGGTCACTACGTTGATTTTCTTGAATCTATGAACTTTAGGCTCCGTTTGATTCGCCATATTTTTCATGGAAATTTTCAATTTTCCAATTTTTGTAGTGTTTGATAGGCAAAATTTTTTCCACATTTTCTCATTTTCCACATTTTTGAGGAAAATAAATTTTTAATGTTTTGGTGTGAAAATTATTATTATTATTATTATTTTTCAATTGTAAAAAAGTCTAGATACAATGGTAAAAACATTTATCACTTTTATTGACAATTTTCATTAAAATAAAGTCAAATGAATGATATTCGGTATGGTAAATTTTTTTCAATTTTTTTGACAATTAGAACAGATTTTAGACCCAATGGTAGAAAAAATTATCACTTTAATGGACAATTTTCATAAAAAATGAAGCCAAACAGGCACCAAACTTTCAATATTTTCCATGAAAAATTATACTAATCAAACACAATTAATTACAATTCTCAGTAAAACTTTTTTTTCACCCATTTTTCACATTTACAATCAAACGGATCCTTAGTGATTAATCTGAAATCAAATGAAATTTTAAATTTTGTTGACCACTATGTATTTACATAGTTCAAGTAGTTGATTGTCATAAACTCAAGAAATTTTGAATTGAAATAACATGACAATGAAAACGAATGTCATAAAATTATTTGCCGACGGAAGATAATTGCTCATCTCTATTTATTTGTATAATTATTAATTAATTTAATTGCATAAAAAGTTTCAAAGAAATTGCACCCCTATTATTGGATATTTATGGAATTCAATATCTTTCTTTTTTCAAGTATCTTCGAAATAAAACACACCAAAATTTAATCAATTTGAATCTCAAAATCCAAACGACATCGTTTACCTCAAAATTGCGACCGTTACACTTCCATTTTGGAAAACCGCTAGTGCACGCACAAGTCTAGGCGCGCTCTCTTTCTTCGCTGGTAAGTAGTGCTCTCCTATCTGCATAAATTTGTCTGTTTCTCCTTGCCTTCTCAGCAGTCATAATTTATTGTCTCCTTTTTCAGTATCAAATTAAGTATCTTTTTGAATCTTATAAAGGTAATAGCTTTGCTGGACTTTTTACACATTTACAACAAGATGTTGGCGTACACGTGATTATTTGTAGTTCTGTTCTTTTCAAACCCATTTTTTCTACAAACCCAGATATCTGATGCATTTTTTGTGTATCCATGTTTATGTGCATGAATGTGTGTTTATGTAATTTGTATACAAAACAATTCTAAGTTAAAAAGGAAAAATGGGTTGTGCGCAATCAAAAGTGGACAATGAAGAGTCAGTTTCGAGATGTAAAGATATGAGAAATTTAATGAAAGAGGCTGTTTCTGTGAGGAATGCTTTTGCCTCAGCTTATTCTGGGTACACAATGTCCCTCAAGAACACTGGCGCCGCCTTGAGCGATTATGCCGTAGGCGAGGTGCCTCCTGCGGCTGTGTTAAACGCTGACCCGTCTGGATCGGAGCAGGCACCGCCACCAGCTCCGCAACCTCCGCTGCCTCCCATGGTGGATCCAAACTTTCCTCTCCCACCGCCACCCTTACCAATTTTTTCCCCAACTCCGCCCATTAAGCGGGCCGTTACCATGCCAGCGGGGTTGTCAAAAACAGAGAAATTGAAGGTTATCGGCGTTGATGAGAGTAATGTTTATGGTGAAGAAGAGGAGGGGGAGGAGGAGGAGGAGGAAAGAGGAGGGGGAGGAGGAGGAGGGAAATTTTCTTAAGAGGAAAAAAGAGGTTGAGGAGTTGGGCCAAAAAACTCCGATTCAGACCCCAAATCAGCAGATTCCACCACAGATTAGAGACATGGGATGGGATTTCTTTTTCGCAGACAATATTCCCCAATCCTCGTTGGGAAAGGTTAAGGATGAAGGAGAGGGTTTCATGGATGGAGATGGGAATCTTAACAACAACGGAGGGAATGTGGAGGTTAAGTTCCCGGAGAAGCAGGCAGGATTGGAGGGGATTGAGAATTTTAACAACGTGAGAGGAAATGTGGAGTTTAAGACCCCGGAGAAGGAGAAGAAGGCAGAACTCCAGGAGATTGAGGAGTTCAAGACACCAGAGGAAATGCCAGTGGGTGCGGCGAAGCAGTTTATGCATTCAAACACCGCACCACTGGAAATGAGTAAAGGAATTGGTCTGAGGAAGGTGGAGGGAAATAATAATGGTGTGGATTTTTTGAAGATTTTGAATCAGATTGATGATCTTTTCCTTAAGGCTTCCGAGGATGCAAAAAAGGTTTCAAAGATGCTGGAGGCCAATCGGATGCATTACCATTCCAACTTTGCAGATAATCGAGGTGATCAAATCGTTGTACAATTTGAAAATATCTTCATGATTGATTTGTTCTTATAGTATGCATCTTTTATTGGAGTTGTTTTTACACTTCAATTTACGTTACACTTGAACAAGATACTTTTTTGATATTGGACGGTTATGATTCTTAAGAGACTTGCATGGTGCATTATTTTTCATTTCTCTGCATGAAAATCTGTTTGTAATTTCAGCCCCTTATTTGCAACTGGTCACTTTAGGTTAACCTATTAAGTTTTTGGGCGTGGACATTCTGTTTATATAGGTTTTAACTTTATTAAAATTCCAAGTTGTTGGAAATCTTTAATCTCTTTTGACACCAACAATTTCAAAAATATGTAAATGTGAAGGTTTGTTCACATAGTTACTACTCTAGTTGCTTTGGATCTTCTAATGTAGCATTGAGCTTATAGAGTAGTGAAAAACGAGTGATTAGCCGACCTCAAATTTGTTGGGAATTAGATTTAGTTGGCTTCTTGATTTTTATTGGTGTAGATCTCATGATTTCTCCAGTTTTCGTCACATAGAAGATTTCTGTTTCCATAAAGCTTTTAATATTTTTTCCATCTCTATATGATACAACTTAATGTGAAAACTGTAGCAATCTGATAGATCAGCTGTCAGCCGCCTAACAAATTGATTTGTAATACCATGTATTTTCAGGCCACATTGACCATGCAGCAAGAGTCATGCAAGTTATTACATGGAACAAATCTTTTAGAGGTGTACCTGATGGTGATGCGGCCACAGATAACTTCAAGGCTGAAGAATATGAGACACATGCCACAGTTTTGGATAAATTGCTAGCGTGGGAGAAAAAATTATATGAAGAAGTGAAGGTACATGGCATCCTTTTCTTCTAGTTATTTGCACCTCATTTGTAATTTATTCATGTTCTTTTTTGAATTTAGTAGTTGGAAAATTTTCAAATTGGCCCTATTTTAATGGTTAAAGTGACAAAAAGCCTTCTCTCAGTTTTTGGCTTAAAAGGCTTTAGTTACAGGCCAAATGACTTTCATCCATTCTGATATTTTACCTTGTAAAAGGCTCCTCAACTCGATTAGTCCAACCCAATGGTCTAGTTTTTCTGATAAATATTTCAGTATCAAATATAATAACCATCCAATACTTCAACAAGCAAAAACTTTTTTATCCCATGTTTAGGCTCTATTATTTCCAAAATACCTTTTTTTAAAACTCATTTTCAACTACATATTCTTCCATAAAATAATATTCTACGTAAATCCAAAACTTTTCCTTATATTTAACTACACATTCTCCAAAAAATAACTATTCAAAAATATATTTTCTCCCAAAATCGCATTAAAATGGAGCCCAAACAGGGGCTTAGTAAAATAAATGTAGTAAACCAACACATAAGCACAATAATCTTTGGGCAATGAAAGCAAGAAAGGCAATGGAGTCTCTACCTTCACCTGCTCTATGAAAGAAGAAGCAGAATCCATGACATTTTAACTAAAGAAAGAAGGGGAGTAGGTGGGAATTTAGGAGGAGGCTATTCTAACTTGGGCCATTTTTGAAAAGATCCATTCTTTTGTAATTAATCATGAGGCAATTTGCTTTATGGTTTTGATTCATTCACCTTTCTTGCAGGGACGGATTTAGGGGGGGCTGGACCGGGCCACCCCCAGCCCATTTAATTTTTTTTAGTAGAATTTTTTTTATGTAAAAAAAAATTTTTTTTTTTCTTGTGTAATTTTATTTTTTTTACGTATTAGCCTAGTCTGTAATTCGGTCCTGGATTCTTGTGTTAGCGAATTGGAGAAAAATGATCAGTTATGCTACCTTTAGAAATGAAAACACCATTGTGTATATTATTTAACTCTCTATCTGATTAGTGCAAGACTAGAGTTTTCTCGTCTTTGTTTCTTTCTAGACCTTGTGGCAGACCACTAGGCATTTTTGTATCTATATATCTTGATATCCGGTACTGTTTTTTGTGTGCTAATCATTTTTCTTGGCATGTGTTTGCTTTGTGCTCATAGAATGGCGAGGTTATGAAGGTTGAATATCAGCGCAAAGTTTCTGTGCTGAACAAGTTGAAAAAACGCGGTGCTAGTTCTGAACAATTGGAAAAGGCAAAAGCTGCTGTTAGCCATTTGCATACGCGGTATATTGTTGACATGCAATCATTGGATTCAACGGTGTCGGAAGTGAATGATATACGAGACAAGCAGCTGTATCCAAAACTTGTGGCTCTTGTGCATGGGTAATTTTCTATTCTATTGCTCTATTTTTTGGCCACTTACAACAGCATTGAATTGGATATTTGATGTTAATTACTATTTATTTAAGTGTCAATTCAGTTTTACATTGTAAACCTTGATTCACCTTATAACTCAACTCGTTCCATAATTTTTTCCATCCAGCACCACCACGTCTGAACTTGTATTGAGACACTGAATAAGAAACCTGGAGATTTGATCCATAATTTGCAATCCAGATTATCGGCTTCTTGTTTTGGCATAAAATAGTCCACTTTCACGTGCTTGGTTTTAAAATCGGATTATATATAAAAACCTGTGCTCTGCGGGATTAGTGGTTATGTACTCATGTTCAGAATCAAAATGAACCCTTCATATTTTGAATCTAAAAATTGGTTCTTTTGCAGTTTTCTAAATGTTCGGTTTGAAGTTGAACCAGTTTTCAGCTGAACACATATCAGTTTAATGTAAAATTTACACCCTCAAAGCTAGTTTTGTTAAAATCAGTACACGGCGGGGACGTTCATTGAAATCATTTATGCAGTTTTATAGTTAGTTCCCTTTCCTAAATGTTTGTGATGGTCTAGTTTTTTAACCACTTAAATATGTCTCCTAAGAGATAGATTTTTGCCACTAATAGGCCAGCATTTCACCTTGTATTTTATAGCCATATGGTTTTTGAACTGGTTTTTCTTTCTTATTTTCAAGTAATTTGTTAATGAACTTGAAGGATGGCGACGATGTGGGAATCCATGTGCATGCATCATGAAAGCCAGCTAAGAATTGTGATGGACCTCAAATCCCTTGACTTCTCTGGGATTCTCATTGAAACGAGCAAACATCATCAAGAGCGTACGACGCAGCTTTGGAACGTCGTCCAACAATGGCATTCACAATTCGAAAAGCTAGTGACAAATCAAAGACAATACATCAATGCTCTTAACAGCTGGTTGAAGCTAAATCTCGTACCAATTGGGAGCAGCTTAAAAGATGAAAACTCATCCCCTCCAAGAATTCAGATGCCCCCTATCCAACAGCTTCTTCATTCTTGGCACGATCATCTTGAAAAGCTTCCTGATGAAGTTGCAAAAAGTGCAATTGCCTCCTTTGCTGCTGTGATAAAGACAATTATTGATCACCAGGAGGAAGAAATGAAGTTCAAGGAAAAGTATGAAGAAACCAGAAAGGAGTACTTGCGTAAAAAACAGGCATTCGATGAGTGGCATCAGAAATTCTTGCAGCGCAGAACTCCACCTGAGGAGATGGACCCTGAGAATGGCATAGAAATGAATGCCAAGGATCCAGTAGCCGAAAAACAGTTTGTGGTCGAGAGCTTGAAAAAGAGATGGGAAGATGAATGCGAAGATCACCAGAAACACTGTATTCAAGTGAGGGAAAAGTCACTCGTAAGTCTCAAAAGTCGGCTTCCTGAGCTTTTCCGAGCCTTGTCGGACTATTCTCGTGCGTGTTCCGATGCTTACGAGAGACTAAGGTTGCTTACGCAATCGCAGCAGCAGTCAAACAGGGGTTTATAAGCTTTCATGTTATATTTAACGTAGGGACCTACAGTTTTTCGTGAATGAGATTGTTTTCAAACATTGCAGTTTTTGCAATATTTGTTGCTGTCCATTTTGCTCTTCTCAAGCACTGAAATTCCTTGAGAAAGATTTTGCAAGCTCGTAGAATCGAACTTCAAAGTTATTTTGTTGAAATATGATATTTTTAAGTTGCTTTTCCTAAAAGTCTCAACTTACTTTAACTTATAAGCACTGTCAAACATGTTTATAAAGTGTTTTCCATGTGTTTGGGTTCTTGCTCTACTATTCACTTGTGTTTCACTTTTACTACTAGTGAATTGTACGGTTAATTCGCTGTGTTATATAATTTTGTTAAGCTATGTAATTATAAATATTTCTAAACCCTGAATATAGTTGAGAGATTTATTCACGCTGTGTTATTTAATTTTGTTAAGCAATGTAATTATAAATATTTCTAAACCCTGAATATAGTTGAGAGATTTATTCATTACATCGACAAAGCATAGAAATAGTCCGGATTGAATAAAACAAGATGGTTAGAATATAGGTTTACGTAGTTCAAATTTGATTTAATGTCGTGAGTGAGAACGAGTTTCAAAAGAGTGTTCAAGTATAGTCTTCTTTGATAAGAGTATGAAGAACCAAATTATGTATCAACAAAATTATGCGGATCGCGAACTCACGGGCGCGATTAACATTAACGCATTACTCTCAGCGGGATCTACTCCACGAGGAGCAATACGGACTTAGATGATATCATCATGACCTCTCTTTTCATACCGCTAGGTACAAAGGCCCAAGCAACCAGACTTTAACATAAATGTAAAATCCAATTCCGTTTCTCAACTCAATATGTTGCCCCGAGCCATCGCTATAGCATATATGGTACAAGGAGTATGGATACTTTGAAGACTTAATTCATCTATTTACCATCGAATTAACTAGACATAGGATCCACCTAAAAAGTCTCTAAGGAGATCTTTTTTTTTTTTAACCCAAAAGTCCAATCCAATTTTTTTTATAACCAAACCCAAATATCATTTTATCAAATTCTCATTCAATTATTGGAATCATAATTTCTTCAAGACTTCAAAGAGCAGCCAATTCAGCCCTAGAATTGAATTGAAATTGCATTTCCCACAGGTTGGTTTTTTTTCTTGCTGATTTCGTAATTTATATTTGGTATTTTCTCAAGTCGAATTCGTTCCGAATTTTTCTTGCTAGTTTTGTTCATTAGGTGATAGAAATTCATAATTGTTATTTTGTGGGTATTATTTAAATGGTTTACCAGAAATGATTGAAGCACATGTTTCCTATGTATTGCGACGTTTTAATTTCATGGTTCTCAGATGAAGATTTCTTGATTTTCCTGTTGTTGTCTGCCATGTTTTCTTTTATTGTGAGCTTGTCTGGTACCACTTTTTTTACCTAAAAAAATTGATTTTGTTACCCTTTTTTTTCAAACTTACGGCCCAACTAAGAGAGAAGTTAGTCCACAATTTTAATGGTTGGAATTCTGCTGAATAGCAGAAACAGACAAGCTCTGTGTGTTTTTTCAAGAAACAGACAGACAACTTTTGAGGTTTTTTACATGGAATTGAGGTGTTTTGTCACTTTTGTGTTCAATTTATAGTGGCTGTTGAAGTTAACCAAGGATGTAGAATCTAGATATTCCGGTGCTGTATTGATTGATGGCTGTGATTAAATAATATGAAATAACACATTCTGTTGCCAAAACTTAGACCAAAGATGAAATAACTTATATTGTAGACTGATTCCATTGTTGACTGAACTTGCTTAATGGAGATTCTTTTACTTTTTCTGCACCTAGATTTTCCAATAGATAGTATCACTAACCAAACTTAATACGAAAAAAGATATTATTTAGTCCACAATGAATTTGTTGCCTATGTTATTTAATCTCTCGGAAACCTTTTTATTTTGAAAGTTCTAATTATTGGTATGAGAAGTGGAAAAAATTGAATCTTGTTTTGCAGTCTGCATGAGACTTTTGATAGTTTTTGAATCGAGTCCCATAAGGCTGAACTTGGATATTTCCAAATGACTTGTCTTAGTTATTTTTATTCTTTCTACTATATTCAGCATTTACAAATGGAATCTCAACCTTCATCAAAGATAATAAAGAAGATATTTTCATTCTTCAAAAAGACGGGAAAATCTAGTAAAAGTATATGTACATCTCCAAAAATTGAATATCTGTTAGTCTCAACTCTTCTGCAACATCCTCCAATTTCATCTCCAAAAATTGAACATTCATCGGTCTCAATTTCTGAGAATCACTGATGTTCTTTGTCAAACCCTTAAAAAAAAAAAAAAAAAATCTCAAGAAATCTTGGCTGTTTTAAGGTTTGTGTCTATTACAAAATAATTGCTTCAAAAATTGAGAGATGACGGTTGAGAATAATTTTTTCTAGAAGTGAAATTTTTTTGCTCAAGAAATGATATTACAATACCTAATCTAGAAGGTTAGTATAATATTGGTCGTTCTAGTGATGAAACTACAGTTGAGCATTATTATCACTATGATGTCTTCAGCGAATCAATTGATTTTGTAACGGTGGAGTTAAGTACAAGATTTAATANATATTAGTAGAACTCATTTCTCTCAGTACTGCTTTGAATCCTAAAGATTCATTTAAATCATTTGACAGTCGTAAAATTTGCACACTTGTAGAGAAATTCTACCCTCAAGATTTTTCAAAGCAAGATATTATTACATTAGAATATGAGTCACCACATTATGAGTTAGATATGAAGGGTGGGCCTCGATTTCAAATATCTACACTTGCTGAGTTATGCAGGCAGTTGACTGAGAGTGGAAGGTCGGAAAGTTACATTGTTGTGACTAGATTGATTTGTCTTGTATTGATATTAGTTGTTTCTACCGCAAGCACTGAGCGAGCATTTTCAGGAATGAAACATGTGAAGACGACATTTCGCAACAAAATGGAGGATGACTTTCTTGCTGATTGTACGATACTTTTTAACTTTTTATAGAAAGAGAAATTTGTTATTAAAATCATTTAGTAACTATAATAGTCAAAGTGCCGTCCACTAAATGAATGCCAAAAATTTGTTATTAAAATCATTTAGTAACTAAATTATATTTTAACACATAATCGAGCATATCCCTTGAATGACTTCTCGGTTGCAAAAATAGT